CTAGTCGCTGATCATAGAAAAAACTCGTACCTTTCTGCATAAGAATCATGCGCTGCATCGTAACCTGGAAGCGGCCTGGCGCCAACTTATGCTTTGGTGTGTCATCCATTGTTACCTTCTTTGTCAAAAGTTGTGACGTTAACATCTTCCATGTTTACCTTTACACCCAATAATAAGATTCCAACAAGGAAATATCGGAGCCAGTTCGTCCTCGTCAAATCCAGGTTCTCCTTTCCTGACCTTTCAGTTAATGGCCTGCAAAACATTGCTCATGTTGTAATTCATATAAAGGAGTAACTCTTGTAAGAATAAAACCACTGATACAATTGCTTAAAAGTGCAAGCTCTTCGAAGCTAATTTAGCTGAAATTACTTCAACATGTAAAGAGCCATCGCTGGAATATGATTACACTTTAGCATTCAAACAGGTGCTTCTCCCGCAAAATTTTGTATATACGATGTACGCTAGAAATGACGGCGTAACAGGATGAAGTTCTGGAAGATCCAGAAGTTTTACTATAATTTATCTAATTCCAGAAAATCCTATGATCTTCAGTCTTCTTATCAACTTCTTGAAAACAGCAGCATATTTCGCATCATGCTACCATTATCGGTTTTTCAAAACCTATTCTACTTTTTCTATACATTCGGCAGCGCTATATCAGCAGCTAGAAATGCTCACATATGTGACGTTAACATCTGCAACGTATGTGAGTTCATACTTCGCTCATTGTTAGTTGATAGAATCAACGATAAGATAGAAGAAGTTATATCTGCTGATATGTCTTTAACGCAAATAGAGCTTATCTGGTGAGGCAAACACAGTAACAGAAAACCATTGTACCGAACCAGAGAAGATATGACATTCGAATAAGCATTGCTCAGTAAGTCTCTTGCGATTTTAAATAAGCTCATTGCGACCTTATGGAAGCATGAAACAAAAGCAAGAAATGTAAACATTCTAGTTTAGTTTTCGACATTTTAAGCACAAACTCTCTCACAATCAGAGGCAAGCCCTGGATTAGCCTCACTAGCCCTAGAGACCGTTAGAGGGACTGTAGAGCCAGTAACTACGATCAGGTCAGTTTCGTCAGACAAGTTGACAATTAAATTGTTGATTCTTACGTGTCTGCAGATCGACCCCCGTTGCAACGCTTCCCACCCATTGC